AGGCTGGCCTTGACCTGGGGATCCTCCTGCCTCAGCCTTCTAAATTGCTGGGATTACAGATGTGCACCACCATGCCTGGTTCTTATTTTGTTTTTAAAAACAGGGTCTCACTGTGTTGCCCAGGCTGGTCTCAGACTCCTGGGCTCAAGTGATTCTCCTGCCTCAGCTTCCCAAGCACTGGGACTACAAGTGGGTGCACCACACTCTTATCTTTCATATTTAGATCTGTAATCTACCTGGAATTGATATTTAAATGTGGTATGAGATAAGGGTCCAAATACTTTTTTTTTTTTTTTTAACATATGAGCATCACTTGGCCTAGTGCCACTTAATGACAAGAGTGTCATCTCCTTAGTGAACTGCAGGGCCACCCTTGCCCTAAGTTAGGTGAACATGTATGTTCGAGTCTAACTTTTGTCAGTTCCATTGGTCAATTTGTTTCTCTTTACCAATGCAGCACAATCTTCATCACTGTAATTTTATATTCCTGGTCTTGTGTTATGAGTGTGTGTGGTATTTGTCTGTATAAGGATTTTCATAAGCATTTAAGTTTTCTTTTGCTCCCTACCTGGTCTTTATTTCCTCCCAGCCTTCCCCCCACCCCACCTCCGTTCTTCTTGGTGTCTGTTTTCAGGCCAGTTGCTTTCCTTAAAGGTGAGCAACATAAGCCAGGCATGGTGGCACATGCCTGTAATCCCAGTGACTTGGGAGGCTGAGGCAGGAGGATCAAAAAGTTCAAAGCCAGCCTTAGCAACTTAGCAAGGCCCTGAGCAACTTAGTGAGAATCTGTCTCAAAATAAACAAAAAGGGCTGGAGATATGGCTCAGAGGTTAAGGTCCCCTGCGTTCAATCCCCTATACCAAAAAAAAAAAAAAAAAAGCCAGTTGGGAGCCCTGCATCTGTGCGTAGTAGCATGTGTGAGTACCAGTGTCTTTTTGGTGGCTTCCTGGAATGATGGAGTGGGGCTGCTGCTCTGAAGTTTTCCCCTTTGGCCTGTTTCCTCTTTTGGTTGGAGATGGAAAGTTCACGGCTGTCTTGGGGAAGGGTAGGCCAACTTCTTCCCAACTCATCACCCTGCAGAGCCTCTGTGTGCTATCCCCTGGCTGCAGGGAGCTGGGTGGGACCTGCTCCCTGGAGCTCCCCACCCCAGTCCCTTCTGGCCATTCCCCCAGAGGATCCGAGTGGGAGCCTGTCCTTGGTCCTGCTGTGTGGCGCCATGTCTTAGCCAGATCTGGGCACTTCCTGCCATTTCTTGCTATTCTCTAGTGGCCTCACTGAAGAGCAGGAGAGGGGAAAGGGTGTGAAGGCCCAGGGTCTCTCCTGTGCCCCAGTCCCCCTTCCAGATTTCGTTGACATTTCCCACCTGCTCCTGTCCCCTCTCTTGTCCTTTTGGGTGTGCCTTTCTTGGCGTCAGTTTTGAGAGAGCATCAGAAGGCACCTCTGTGGGTAACTGGGACCTGTTTACGCCTTGGCCTCCTGCTTCCCTCCCAAGGGCGTCCTCTTCCGTCACCGTCACCCTTCTCTCCAGTGGCCCAGGGTCCCCCTCATCAGGTCCCCTCCCAGGGAAGCCTTTCCCTTCTCTCCTCACCATGGGAGTCAATGGCCCTGAGCTGGGTGGGGAGCTGCTGGAGGCAGCCCTCTCCCACCACTTTCTCTGCTCCTGAACCGGCCTCCTCCCTTCCCTGCCTCAGCTGTGCGCTGGCACAGGGTGAGCCTCGCTGCAGCAGAGACCTGTGGCACTGCCTGGGCAGCACCAGCATGGCGGGCTGGCAGGGTGGGTTTGCAGTCAGCTACCCATGTCAGGCACAGTGGGGAGGGCAGGGCCACAGGCCTTTGGGACAGCGGGTGTCTGACTCGCCCAGCCTCCCCTCCTTCCCTGTGCAGGCCGACCCGGTGCGGCTGACCCAGCTGTACGAGCAGGCTCGCTGGGACCTGCTGCTGGAGGAGATCGACTGCACCGAGGAGGAGATGATGGTGTTTGCAGCCCTGCAGGTGCCTGGGGACCTCAGGGTGGGCAGGGTGCAGGCCAGTCCCCAGGCAGGAAAGGCCTCCCAGCATGGGGCCCACCTACCAGGAAGCCCAGGCCGGGCACTGCTGGCAGCTGGACTCAGGTCCCCCTTGCCTGTGCCCCCAGTACCACATCAACAAGCTGTCCCAGAGTGGGGAGGTGGGTGAGCTGCCCAGCGCGGACCAGGGGCTGGATGACCTGGACGCAGCCCTGAGCAACCTGGAGGTGAAGCTGGAGGGCTCGGCGCCCACGGACGTGCTGGTAAGGAGGGGCTGGGGCTGGGGCCGGGGTCAGGGACAAGGGCTGGGAGCCGGGGATCCCCTCTGACTCCTGACCTCCCCAGGACAGCCTCACCACAATCCCAGAACTCAAGGATTATCTCCGAATCTTCCGGTAAGTCAGGAGCCACCTGGAGAGGGAGCTGGGAGGGAGGCCGCCCTCACAAACCGCCCGCACACCCTCAGGCCCCGGAAGCTGACCCTGAAGGGCTACCGCCAGCACTGGGTGGTGTTCAAGGAGACCACGCTGTCCTACTACAAGAGCCAGGATGAGGCCCCGGGGGACCCCATTCAGCAGCTCAACCTCAAGGGTGAGGGGGCTGGTGCAAGGGCGGGAGGGGCCACCCGCAGGCTGAGCATCAGTCCCTCCTGGACACCAGCGAAGGTGCCCTCTGCCCTGTGGTGGCCGTGGAGGGCAACCTTTCCACACGGGGACCTCTCGGCAGGCCTCCGGTCCCAGACGTCCCAGCCTACCCTTTCTTCTCCCTGCAGGCTGTGAGGTGGTCCCCGATGTCAATGTCTCGGGTCAGAAGTTCTGTATCAAACTCCTAGTGCCCTCCCCTGAGGGCATGAGTGAGATCTACCTACGGTGCCAGGATGTGAGTGGGGCTGAAGCTGTAGGGGTTGGGACCAGGGACGGGGCAGGGGCTTTGGCTGGCACTGAAGTGGCATTCAGGACAGGTAGATGTCCAGAGCTTCACTGGCCCCTATCGTCCCCCGTCCTCCTCGTTCCAGGAGCAACAGTATGCCCACTGGATGGCCGGCTGCCGACTGGCCTCCAAGGGCCGCACCATGGCGGACAGCAGCTACGCCAGCGAGGTGCAGGCCATCCTGGCCTTCCTCAGCCTGCAGCGGGCAGGCGGCGGGGGCTCGGGCAACCAGCCCCAGGGGTCCGACGCCTCTGCCGAGGGCCTCAACCCCTATGGACTTGTTGCTCCCCGCTTCCAGCGAAAGTTCAAGGCCAAGCAGGTGCCGGGGGAAGGAGGGTGGGAATGAAGTTCACCTGGCCACCTGACCTCCGGGAGGCCTCCTCAAGAAAGCCACACACACACTGCTCCTCTCCCGCTGTGTCCCCAGGAGTCCTGTTGTCAGTGTCCTCCTCCAGGCTTGTTCAGCCCATATGTGCTGAGTGGTGAGACACAGCACTTTGGTGGCCCCACAACAGACATTGTCCCTTCTCAGGCTCAGCATTCGGTCTCCCTGACAGGCAGGTAGGGGTCTCCGGGTCTTTAGAGCAGGGAAACCCTTCCTGGTCCCTCACCAGTATGACCCCACAGCTCACCCCGAGGATCCTGGAGGCCCACCAGAACGTGGCCCAGCTCTCGCTGACGGAGGCCCTGCTGCGCTTCATCCAGGCCTGGCAGTCCCTGCCTGATTTTGGCATCTCCTACGTGTTGGTTAGGTAGGCTCTGTCACCTATGTCCTCACCTGCTGCCTGCTGCTGCTTGTGCTAGCCCAAGTGGGTCCCAGTCACCTTCCCCTGCTCTGTGGGTAGACCTGATTGGAGGGATTGCGTCCCCTCCCCCACTGTGTACACTGGCAAATACAATGGACAGAGCTCAGACCAAGAGAGCCGGACCCAGTGTCTGCCCCAGCTCCGCCACAGCCCCGTTCCCCGCTGGGCCTTGGTCAGCTGTCCTGCAGGCCAAGGCTGACACTGGGTTTGTCTCAGGAACTTGGCCCCTTGATTCTTCATTTCCCAAAAGTGCAAAGATATAAGCGAGACAATGAATGACGGTGACAATGACACGACAAAAATAAGATTTAAAGGCATCGGCTACTTGCCTGGTTCTCTAAGTGTGTGACTCTGTCCCCCACTTTCCTGGTGAGGAGCTGGAGGCACAGACCCAAATGACTTTCAGGTGGCCCAGCTGGCGGGCCAGAGTTGGGATGTAAACTCGGCGGTCTTCCTCTGGTGTGCAGTCTGGGTGGGCTCTGGTCTGTGCAGGGGGGAGTCCTTGCTCACACCCTCTCGCCCTGGGGTCAGGTTCAAGGGCAGCAGGAGAGATGAGATCCTGGGCATTGCCAACAACCGACTGATCCGAATTGACCTGGCCGTGGGCGATGTGGTCAAGACCTGGCGCTTCAGCAACATGCGCCAGTGGAATGTCAACTGGGACATCCAGCAGGTAGGCTCAGAGTGAGCGTAGGGACAGGGGACAAACACTGCACCAAACCTGATCAGGACAGAGCAGGGGCTGTCTCCATTATCCCACCTACCCACTGACCCCTCTGACTACCTGCCCTGCAGGTGGCCATTGAGTTTGACGAGCACATCAACGTGGCCTTCAGCTGTGTGTCCGCCAGCTGCCGCATTGTGCATGAGTACATTGGGGGCTACATTTTCCTGTCGACTCGTGAGCGGGCGCGTGGGGAGGAGCTGGACGAGGACCTCTTCCTGCAGCTCACGGGGGGCCATGAGGCCTTCTAAGGACAGCCTGACTGCCCCTGCTCTTCTCACCACCTGCCACAGCCAGTCCAGGCCACACCCACAGGGACTCGTCCCACACCCTCTCCAGGCACACACCAAGCTGGGTATGTTCACCTGCTATCACGGTAGACCAGAGCCCTGGCTGGGCCCTCACCCAGGCAAGGGATGGTGGGCCTGACCCATAGTACCTTCCCTTGTCCAAGTGGCCTAGGCCAACAACCTTGACCTATCTGAGTCCCTGAGCACACGAGGAAGACCAGATATAGCTAAAAGACACAGAATCTTGGTTTCAAACTAGAGTTTCTTAATACTTTTTTTAGAGTTTTTTAAATAAATAAATATTTTATTGTTGGATCATCCTCCTTCCTCTCAGGCTGTGCTTGGGGCCACTCTGCTACTTTGTCTCTTTATCACCAGCCAAGGAGAGAGGCTTTCCTGCAATAGAGAGCAGTGATGCTTAGAGAAAGGGGAGATCGAAGTCAGTCTGGGTTCGGGGGCTGGGAAAGGGGTACAGGCAAAGGGCACAGCTCCAGCGTATTGGTGGAGGAGGCAGTTCTCACGGGTGGGGCGCAGCTGCAGGGCCTCCTTGAAGTACTTGGGAAGCAGGAAGCCATCAGCATTCCCTGGAGTCAAGATCACCCCGTTAGCAGAGCGGAAGAAGGAGATTCCATCTGGTGGCAGAACTAGAGATGTGACCCATGTTTTACCCCTCAAAGAAAGGCCTAGGGTAGTCCCTGCTGCTTCTATACTCACCTGACAGGGCCAGGGGTCCATTGATGAACACAGCCACTTCACAATTTGGGCGCATGCCTATAGGGTCAATTGGGGCTGAGACAACAAATCTGGACAGACTGATATCCTGTGATGGGTGGGAAGGGGTTCTGTTCCATGCAAGGGAGAGGGCAGCCTTGGACAAGGGAAGCTGTGAACTTGAAGGGGACCTAGAAGGACAGAGTGGGTAGGAACAGGTAGGTGGAGGGGGGCACTGACCACTGATGACACCAGCGTCTCCAGGCAGTCCTGGAGCCAAGTGGATGTGTGTCCTTCCCTGGCATGACAGGCCCTTGAGCAGGATGGAGGGCCAGTGCTTCCAGAATGTACCATGTACTAGTACCAGAGGCAGAGCTTGTGGCGTCTCCAGAGGCATCAGCTCCAACTCGGGTACCTGGGATGTGTGGTTGAATGGGCAGCAGTGAGATCCTTTTCATTGACAGGGGTCCCATCTGGCTCTCCCCCCTGTCCCCTTGACACCCACCTGCAGGGAGTGGCCCTGGTTGGCTCGGATGAGGGGGCCAGTGCTGGGATCTCCTGGCCGCAGAGTGAAGCGCTGCTTCCTGTTGGTGTTCACCACACGCTGCACGTCTTCAGTGGAGAAGCTGTGGAACTGGGGCAGCTGCAGAAGGGTGCCCAGGGGTACAAAGCCATCTGAGGGCAGAGAGGTGCTCAGGAGCTGCCCTTGTCCTGGCCAGGGCCACAGTTAACAGGGGGAGCCACGGGAATCTAGACCAGAGGCTGGGCCTAGAGGTCACAAGACCTCTAGAAAGTCTCTCTTTTCTAGGTTTCTGATTCTTTTACCTTGAGGAGATAGGTGCCCACTCTTGGGATAGGTGTTTATTGAGCCACTTGGCTGGATGGGATGTACTCAGGCTTGGCTCAGACAAGGGCTCCTTTCCCAGGGGACAAGATACCGGACTCCACTCTGGCCTTCTTGCACATAGGAAGGATGTGCCTCCTGCACCTTCCCCTGGGGCTGTGGTGCCTCCCACTGCTCCCTGGGCTCCAGCCACTCCTCCCCTAGCTTTTAAGACCCTCACTTACCAGCCCCCATGGGAAGGCCCAGCTTCAGGGCCCCGTGGCGCAAGGCATATGACAGAGCCTTGGACAGTTGCACATCTGGGTCCTGAAAGAGCCCAATGGTGGTCTGGATCTCAGTAGCCACCCTGCCCTGCAGCCCACCCTGAACCCTGAACAACCTGCGGCAGAGGAACACCAAAGGGAGGGGAGTCCCTTTGGTGTCTGGGATTCATCAGTCCCCCCCACACCCCATCAGGGGTCAGAGTCCTTTCCCCGGTCCTCCCACTGGAGGGCGGGGAGGGGCACACCTGCTCCCGGGGTCTGTGAGCCTTTCTACCCGTGGGCCTTGCTGCTTCCTGCCTCCTTCCTCCAGAGGAGTTCATGGTCAGAAACTGTGGGGGAACAGTGACATGTGGAGCTGCTTTAAGGACCCTCCCATGTCCCCTCTCTGCCCAGAAAGTCACAAAGGCTCCCGGCAGGAGAGCTGCGAGGCGCTTCCCAGCATCAAACCCCCCGGTGCACACAGGGAGCTGGGGCCAGGCTGGCGAGACTTGCCCACGGTCACACTGCAGCCTCGGGGCCCAGGCCCATCGCTGGCCCATCGCTGTGCGGGCAAGGCGGCCGGGGAGGAGGGGCGGGCGTGGCGACCGACTCCGGGAAAGGTCGTGTGCACCGGAGCCTCGGACGCGCTCACCCTCGGCGACCGGCGGCCGGCTGCGGACCCCACGGGCCAGGACGCCAGGACCCGCCAATGAGAAGCCTTGGAATAAAGGGGCGGGCACTTCCGCTTCGGGGGAAAGGGGCGGAGCCTGCGGGCCCAGCCGGCCGGTAAGTTACTAGCGCTGGTGAGGATGGAGGTTCCGGACTTGGGAGGGGTGCTCGCGCGTCAGGGGTTGGAGGCAGGCCGTCTGGGATTGGGGACTTGAGCCTTGGGGGACCCAGAAACTTTGGGTGATAGAGATGCCCAAGAGTCTTAGGGATTTCTAGCAGCAGGAGACGTGGGCACCCAGCGGGCTCAGGACTCTTGCCCGGATGATAGGACTCCAACTACCCAAGGCAAGGCCAGGGAGGTTCAGCGAGGTTGGTGGTATCCCAAGAAGATATGTGTCCGAGGAGGCCAGATGCTTGGGCCAGGGATCCCACCCTGCCTCCATCCCACGGGTAACAGGCCTACCTGTGTCCTCCCCCATAGCTGCCCTGTCCAGGCCATGGATCCTGAGGTATCCCTGCTGCTTCAGTGCCCTCCTGGGGGGCTGCCCCAGAACCTTGTAGGAGTGGAGCTGAGCCCAGCCCATGACCGGCGCCCACTACCAGGAGGGGACAAGACCATCGCTGCCATCTGGGAAGCCCGGCTACAGGCCCAACCCTGGCTCTTCAATGCCCCCAAGTTCCGCCTGCATTCAGCTACACTGGCATCCACTGACTCTCCTGGTCCACAGCTGCTTCTGCGCCTGGGCCTTACTTCCTACCAAGATTTCCTGGGCACCAATTGGGCCAGCTCAGCCTCCTGGCTGCAACAGCAGGGAGCCATGGATTGGGGTGACAAGCAGGCCTATCTGGCAGACCCACTGGGGGTTGGTGCCGCACTAATCACAGCTGATGGCTTCCTTGTCTTCCTGCGGCGCTCTTGGCAGGTGGCCGAGGCCCCTGGGATGGTGGATGTCCCTGGTGGGCACCCTGAGCCTCAGGTGAGGTGCCAGGCTGGGTACAAATGCAAAAAGTCCTAGACAGCTCAGGGGAGCTGGAGTGCTAAGCCTTTCCTTCTGTTTTCTTCATACCTTAAAGGGAAAATTGGCCTAGTGTTTAACTGAGTCACCCCTGCTGCAGCACCTTCTCAGAGGGCTCCCCCAGGAGTAACTGTCCACTGCCCACAACCCTCTCACATTCCCAATCTGCAACAGACCTGTGGAGAGGCCAGGAAACATGGGGGGGGGGAGAATGGGCAGAGGAAGATGCTTCACCCAACCCAGCCCCCTGTGTGACCTATTCCTAAATTGGACTTCTGGTTGTTCATCTGGAAAACGAAGGGCCTGGGGATCACAAAGACTCTTACACTGTGTCTACCCAGGCCCTCAGGGCCAGCAAGTGGGAAGACAGGGTGGGAAGAGGATGAAGAGCAGAGGCTGAGCCTGACTTCTCACAGGCTCTGTGCCCTGGTGACAGCCCCCAGCACAAGGACCTCCCGGGGGAACTGGTGGTACGTGAGCTCTTCTCCAGTGTCCTACAAGAGATCTGTGATGAGGTGAGTGAGGAGTGTTGCCCCTTCCTTCATGATGACATGAAGGAAGTGGGTAGAAACTGCTAGAATTCCATAGGTCTGGGTTGGAGGGAAGGTCTGCTGGTATTGAGGGAGCTGGGCAAAATCAAAATGGAATTCTAGTTGTTAGTTCCCTAGGCCTCAAGTTCTTCCTCTTTCCAGTGGAAACAATTTTGTTGATTCAAAAAGGAGTAAATGGGAGTCTCAGTTACTAAATTCACTTCCCTTGAGTGAAGAGATTTCCCTAGGTAGTCTGTTCAATCTCTTTGCTTCTGATTTTCCCATCTGTAAAATTAGCAGCTCAAGATCTAATATTCTGTGATCCAAGACACTTTTCTATGAACCATAAAATATTGTACAAGGGTAATAGGCAGTTCTCTATGGAGAGGGGCAAGGATATGGACAGTGGACATTGACAGGTGGGACCCCCTGCCCCAGGTGAATCTGCCGCTGCTCACCCTGAGCCAACCCCTGCTGTTGGGCATTGCCCGAAATGAGACCAGCGCCGGCCGTGCCAGTGCCGAGTTCTATGTCCAGTGAGTGGGCTCTGGGACACAGGATCTTGAATCCTGGGGAAGATGGGTGGAAAGCATTGGGGATGTGACAGTTGGGGTTCCATAGGGATTCTACAGGACTGAGCTGCTCCCCAAACTATCCTCATGTCCTTGCCCAGGTGCAGCCTGACTTCTGAGGAGGTGAGGAACTACTATCTGAGTGGGGGACCTGAGGCCCACGAGTCTACAGGAATCATCTTTGTGGAGACACAGGTGCGGGGTAACTTTCTGCATCTTGCTTGGACTATAGGGTTAGGGCCTGCAAAGAAATCTGGTGATGCATGTCTGGTGGGTGGGACTGGCTGGTACAGGAGACTCCCGGGTTTATTCCAAAGTCATAAAAAGAGACTCTCCTACCAAAGGGAAAGGCCCAGGGACATGTTAAGTCCTCTTAACATGTCTCCCTATAAACAGTGCTGTGCAGAGGGCTCTGAGGCTCAACCCCAACAGGAGACAAGGGCTAGATGTGTGGGTCTCACTGTCTTCCCCACAGAGAGTGCAGAGATTGCAGGAGACAGAGATGTGGGCTGAGCTCTGCCCCTCGGCCAAAGGCGCCATCTTTCTCTACAACCGAGTTCGGGGAAGTCCCACCTGAGTCAATGTAGAATCCCAGCCCTCGGGGACTGTCATCACAGCTCTGAAGACAATAAAGAACTTTATTCTTGGATTCCATTGGCATTTGCTGTTTCCATGACAGAGGGTTCGCTGGGAGAGCCCTGGGTGGGTGAGACCGAACGCGTCATAGAAAAGGAAAAAACAAAAACAAAAGCAAACACAAAAACACATCAGCTCGGCCTCAGTTTTCTCCCCTGCAAGGGGGGATGAGAGACGTGCCTCCCATGCCAAGACAATGCGGGGTGGAAGCAGCTCTGTAAACGTGCCTCGCTGCTGAGCAGATCAAAGCCATCTCCGCGGCACCGAAGGGCTGCGGCTGGGCCAAAAGGCTCGTTGAGGGTCGGGCTCAGCCCCTCCTGCCGCCCGGGACTGGAGGCCCGCGCATTTCGGCATCTCCGGGGACCTCTTCCTAGCGGCTCCGGCTGCAGAAAGCCGGTCTAGGGGCCGGGGGCGGGGTTTAGCCACATACTCGCACCTTCCGGTAAAGTGGGCGTGGTCTGAGTCTAAGCCAATGAGAGCTCGGGGGCGGTACCTGCGGAGGTGCAGGAAATGGCGGCGACTGCGGAGTTCGTAAGTGGAGTGAGGGCGGGACTTGGTTGTGGTTCCTCCCTCAACCTCCTTAAATCACTCTGGGTGGTTCCGGGGGTCCAGACCTGTAAGCCATAGCCTGGAAAGACCTGGAGGCAGGGCCGGGTCCAGACATGGGGGACTGACCCTGAGGTAGGAGGCCGCCCCGGGGCCTGCCTCGATCTTCTTTTGCAAGAAACCCCTGGCCAGGCTCCTTCGCTCTGCCCGGGCCGCGAAGAGTTTGATATCTGATCGGATCTGGTCTCAGTGCACCCCTCTTGCTGGTCTCCTTTCCCCAGCTGTCCTCCAGCCGCCATGCTGCCCCTGTTGCCCCTGCGCCTCTGCCGGCTGTGGCCCCGCAGCCCTCCCACCCGGCTCCTCGCAGCGGCCTCTGGGCAGCGGTGAGTTGGGCTCCTGGGGCCCCCGGTTGTTCAGCGGGTTTCTATTGAGGGCCTGCCCAGCTTAGGCGCTTCTTTGCTTGCTGAGATAGGTACCTTGCAGTCTTGTCTTAACCCTCACTTTCATGTTGAGGACATTGAGAATCTCATCTGAGACTGAGATGACCCTCAAGGTCATCAGCGAGTTAAATGGGAGATCAGAAATTTGAGCCCAACAAAACCCCAATACTCTTTCCATAACTCCACTGGTAGTCAAGCATAACTCACAGAAGTGGGGAAGTTGGGTACAAAGATGCAGATTCCTGGGCCCTGTTTTGGAGGTTCCATCCTGGAGGAATGAGATGGGTCTTCAGAAGCACCTTTGTCTTTTCTTTGAGAGGGGGTCGTCCTATGTTGCTCAGACTGGCCTTTAACTCCTGGGCTCCAGTGATCCTCTTGCCTCATGTTTCTAACTGGGATGGCAGGCATGTGCCACCATGCCCGGCTTGGGAATCTGTTTTAAATAAACGTTCAAAGTGTTTGTGATGCAAGGATCTGAGGACTACACTTAGAATCCTGATTCAGACCATCCCTGAAACACCCCGAAAAGGAGAGATGGTCTGAGGACAGAACTGTCTTGGGAACTTCCTGAGCTCTCTTCAGCTCCTTCCTAGTGACTGAGTTGAAGGGTGTGGTCCAGGGAGGCTGGGATGGCAAGGCAGGGTACCAGTTTGGGCCTCTATCCACAGGTCTGGCCCCAGGAATTATTATGAACTATTGGGCGTGCATCCTGGTGCCAGCGCTGAAGAAGTTAAACGAGCTTTCTTTACCAAGTCCAAGGAGGTATACTAGTGCTCCCAAGGCGGGGAGAGAGGAAGTGGAAGTCTGAGCCAAATAGGGGGTCACCCAACTTCCTAAGAGTAGGCCTGTGTCTCTGACTGGAACCCCATTCCTTCAGCCTGCCTGGAGGGTGGGTGCTATACTCAAGGATCTGCCCAGGTAGGAGGCAAAGCTGAGGGCACAAGACATCAATGTGCCTGATGAGCTTACTGTCTGCTCTTGAGAAACCTGCACCAGGGTATTTGGAAAGGAGGATGGCAGATGTAAAGGGCTTAAATGAGGAAAGAGGGCTGGAGTCTGGGCTTCTTGACTTTTTGGCCTTCTGGAAGGGCGGGTCTTCTGGAGGGTTATTACAAAAGAGGGTCCCTGGGATTGATGTGAGCCCTTGTGGATCATCAGGATGGGAAGTGGGAAGGGTCACAGAAAGGGAGATAAGGGGAGTCCTGCCTTACCTCTAGCTGCATCCTGACCGAGACCCTGGGAACCCGGCCCTGCACAGCCGTTTTGTGGAGCTGAATGAGGCATATCGTGTGCTCAGCCGTGAGCAGACCCGCCGAAGCTATGACCACCAGCTCCGATCAGCTAGCTCCCCCAAATCTCCAGGGACCACAGCCCATCCCAAGTCTGCCCAACAAACACAGAGGTACAGGGGTCCTGCCCCTGCTTGCCCACACTCCCAAGTCTCCTGGAAAGCCTTGTCTTCACATTGTCCCTTCCTTTGTCTTCCAGCAGCTCCTGGGAACCTCCCAATGCACAATACTGGGCCCAGTTTCATGATGTAAGGCCACAGGGGCCCCAGACGAGGCAGCAGCAGTACAAACACAATCAGCGGGTCCTGGGGTACTGCCTCCTGCTCATGCTGGCTGGCATGGGCCTGCACTATGCTGCTTTCAGGTGCATCCTTGTCCTCCCCAGGGTGATGGGCAGAGGGTAGGAGGGTGGTGAAGCCACTCTGGTTAGCGAGCCAGCTACTGCACCCTATGTCCTGTGTGCTTGTCTCCCACACTAAGCATTTCATGAAGTCAGTCTTTGGAGCCTTCCCTTACTTCATAAAGGCAGCACTACATGACAGGCTAATGTTGCCATTTTCAGTTTTTCATAATTTGAATATAAATCTTTGATGCTGGCTGCCAGGAGGGCTGGAGCCAACCAAAATCAGGCATGAGAAGCAAATGCTTTGTAACAGCCTCACCAGCGACTGTCTTCATTTGGCAGCTGTCGTCTCCCTTCCACTCTCTCATGCATGCCTTGACATGGAGTTTTCTATTAAAAAAGACCCCCTGTCCACCTCCAGCAGCCTGCCTAGTTCAGAGGAGGAGTTGAACCTTTCTAGGCTCCTGGGAAGAGCATCCCTGTGTTCAGAGCAGCTTCACCACTTTCAGCAGGACAGATACTTGGGTGCCATTGCATCCTGGATGGGCCTCTGCCACTCTGTGCCCCTCTCCCCACCTATCACAGGCACTGTTGGGGCAAGGTTCCTACATATGTAATACAGAGAGAGATCCTGGAACAGGGTGGAGGAGGCTTCAGGAACTGCAGGAACTGGAGTATCAGGGTTAACACCAAAGGTCTTGCAGGAAGTTGGAGCAGATACACCGGAGCTTCATGGATGAGAAGGATCGGATCATCACAGCCATCTACAACGACACGCGGGCCAGGGCCAGGTCTGTCCCTGCTCTATCCTGCCTCTGTTTCCTGTCCTTATACTACTGTCCTGGATCCCTGACCCTAACTCTCAGGTGCTCTCTCCTTCAGGGCCAACAGAGCCAGGCTCCAGCAGGAGCGCCGGCAAAGGCAGCAGCAGCCGCTACCCTCTGGGCATCCCCAAGGTCCAGGGATTGTGCCTCCCAGCACCGGCCCCTGAGGGGCTCACCTAGATGGGACCTGTACTGTATTCCCTCCTTGCGCCCTGCCCCAAACTCCGCACTCCCCACGACGTGTGCAATAAAGTGATTCTTAAAGCTTCTGTCCCGCTCGCTCCTTCAAGCCCAGCGCCCCCCGCCCGGGCCTCGCGCTGGGGCAGCGCCCCGCCCAGTGGGTTCTGGCGGCGGCTGCGACCAGGGAGGCCGGCCCCCTGGGCGGCACGTCCCCTTTCCCCTGAAGCGG